CCCCAAAACCCCAAAACCCCAAAACCCCAAAACCCCTCAGTTAAAATTATTAATTAGGCCAGAATAATATTTTTACAATAATGGAGATCAATACTCTAGATGATGAAAATCATCCAATAGAACTTTTTGTAATGCAGGTTTATGATTACATCACAATGGCTTTCTCAATAATTGTGATCCTAGTCGCACTGATCATCGTAATCAGGTTCAGGAAAGATGAAAGTTTGATGTACAGATCTCCCAATCTACTTATTGTTTCGATCAGCTCCATGTTGGCCTCCCAGCTGATCATTTGGATCGGATCAGTTAGTCTATTTGGAGATGGACATTTAAACTGTATAACAGGACACATTGAGCAATATATTTTCTATCCTTTTTTCTTCCTTTCTTATATGACACGAGCACTCAGGCTGATCATTTTATTCAAGAGAGCTGATATTGGATTGTATTCTTCAGAAAGCATCGTAAAGAAGAACGATGAGAGCAACACAATTGCCTTGCTGAAAGAGAATGAGAATACTCTGACTGGAAGCATAAATAGTTCAGATATCAAAAAGCCAGAGGCTACTATGTTACATCATAAAATGTATTATTGGCTTTTATGGTAATAAATTTGTCTTAAGATTATAGGTTCGATACAGAATGGGAATACTTCATGCTTACATCATTTATAACCTTATTGTCAGCAATTATTATGACAATTTTTCTATGTGTGAAAATGAATCAAGTTCTGCCTGTAATAAACTCTTCATATTGATTATATGTTGAACAGACGACGAGTTCTTTCACCACGACTCTTCTAGACATTATCATCAGAAATTGTGACTTGTATGGCATAGCTACCACCTATGTCCTCCTCATGAGGGTGCCTCAAGATTTCAAGTATTTCTAAAACTTTATCCATATAGCATCAAAACTGAAGTCAGAAGGTTACTATTATGCCTTGGGACGGCTGGGGTAGCTAGAAGTATAGTTGGAATCGCTTATTTCAATGACCCCGCTACTAAAATCCACAAAATAAATCGGGGATCTTTCTACATCCAGATGATCACATTCACTGTCGCTTGCTTAATCTCAGTATTCATCCCATTCCTCACAACAAAGAGGTTGACTCCCTCCTTGCCGTCCCCTCCTGAAAGGATCGAGTACATCCAGACTGCAATTCTTGACCCAAAAGGCTTCAGCTGCTTCTACGAATGGTGAGAGAAGTACAGCCCGAGCGTTGTCAAATACTTCGATTGCTTCGTCAGAATCAGGTTCTTTAAGAAAGCTTTTGATAACCTTGAAATGGCAGAAGAGGTCGCAGAGAAAGCGACTGATATTTTTGAGAACCATCTTGATTCGGATAGTGAAGACCGCTTGTCTTTGAATTCGGCCATTCCTGATATTGATAATATATAACTTCCGACATGTTCGACCCCCTCCAATCCCAATGCCTATCAATCCTAACCCCCATCTACGACGAATACAAAAAATCCGACGAATTCCATTACCTGTACCAGCAGCTGTGCCTCGAAGTAAAACAGTACATAATCCTAAAAAATAGGATAATTCCTTAACTTTCTTCAATATTTCTTCTAAATATTGGGGTTTTGGGGTTTTGGGGTTTTGGGGTTTTGGGGTTTTGGGG